GGTGATGGCCTGGATTCAAGTACAATACAGGGGTAGGATTGGGTGACATTTGTCAATATGTGGTTGACATGCTTTAATGACCTGCCTGCATATAGAGATGAAGGGTTAACTCCTAGGTTTCTAACTTGGGAGTTGAGTGGGAGAGGCCTTCAGCCAAGATAGGGGATAGGGGTTAATGGATGTGATTGGTAGGTAGGTCTGGGGCAGGGAGGTGTGGGGTTCAGGCTTGAAGTGTTAGTTTGAAATGCTGCTAGACAGTTACTCGGTTGATGGTAGGAAAAATGGGCCGGGAGCTTAGGAGATATTTTCTCCATTTTCTAATGATGATATAGTTCAGTATTGCTGAGTAATTTTGTAAATTGATCCCCCGCCCCCACAGATGGTAATTTTGCTGTTTTCTTTTTTTCTGTGGAAATTGGTCAATTTCCTTATTGATTCTTTGGAGAAAAAGAGTCAAAAGGACTAACAGGTATAGCTGCTAAACCTAAATTAGCTGTACATCTTTCTTCCTTATTAGTGGTATTCATGTGACTTGGGATAGTTTGCCCAGTTTCACACTCTGTGGGTCTTTCCGTGTATAGCACCTTAGGCAACTGAATGATTGTATCTTGGTTTTAGTGGGATTAAAAAAATTACGTTAATATACAGAATGTAATGTTTGTTTTGGGATAGAAACAGAGAGTTAGCATTTTGCGTATTGCATATTTCCTCAATTTTGTGGATTACAGTAGACACACCACAATTTAAGGATATTATTTTTCTGAGCGGTGAAATTCTTGGTAAGTTTGAAAAATTGCTTATGTTAATTTGAATCTTGTAACACTATATACACAAACAAATTTTAGATGCTAAGTATGTTAAATAAATTTAATTGGCAAAAAATGTTACTGTAGCTGGCTGGGAGCAGGGACTCATGCCGGTAATTCTAGCTCTTTGGGAGGCGGAGGTGGGCGGATCACTTGAGGCCAGGAGTTCGAGACCACCTGGCCAACATGGCAAAACCTCTTCTCTGCTAAAAATACAAAAATTAGCTGAGTGTGGTGGTACAAGCCTGTAATCCCAGCTGCTCAGGAGGCTGAGGCATTAGAGTCACTTGAACCTGGGAGGCGGAAGTTGCAGTGAGCCGAGATACCACCACTGCACTCCAGCCTGGGCGACAGAGCGAGACCCTATCTCAAGAAAAAAATAAAAGGTACGACTTTTTGGTAGTTCACATGGCTGTCACACAATGAAGGCTGTACCTCTGAGGGCTCCTACGCATTCCCCATCTTCCAGTTAAGATACTGGCCTGATTCATTTGAAGCAAGCCGTGTTCTATGCAAGCAGGCCTTCACTAATTGAATGAAATTTAGAATTTAAGATGGCTTGGGCAATTTTTATGCACACCCAAATTTGACAGTTACTGATATGTTTAAGTCTGAAATTATTTTAAAATAAGAAAAAAATAAAATATTGAGGAAAAGGCAAGTAAGATAAGAATTCAAAATTGATGGTTCTTTGATTTGGCATCCAAGAAGCCAGTAGGGATCCTGGAAGGCAGTTTCTCTTGGCTTTTGTAATATCCTTCCCTTTCTGATTATCCTTCTTGTTTATGGGTGGCGAGTTTTCGCTTTTTTAATTTTTTTTTTATTTATTTTTTTATTTTTTGCCTACTTCCTCTGTTATTCCACTGAATGATTATATTCCTTAGTCTTTCTGTTCTCTCTCTGCAGTCTTGCTAGGAGATCTGGTCTCATCTATGCTCTTGACATATGCTTATGATGCCTCCATTTATGTCTTTAGCTTCTCGTCTGTGCATCAGTTTCATGAGTCCCTCTGCTGTCAACACTGTGCCTCAGAGGTTCTGAAGCTTTAATGCACCTTTGGGCTCGTTAAACCTCAGAGGTGCTGTAGGCTTGGGATGGGGTCAACAATTTATGTTTTTAGTAAGTTCCCAGGCAGTGCTGATGGTGCTGGTCTGGGAACCATGAATTGAGAACCTGTAGGAGGAAACCACATACCTGTGACAGTGCGAGGGAAAGAGGTGAGGTCGTGTTTGTTAGGCATAAGTTTGGGTGGAGACAGGTGACGCGGAAAGTTTATGGTAACTTCTGTTAACTGTGTCTTTCTTTCATTCTAGCCTGAAAACTGGTTTTTTAAAATGGAAGCCAGATTATGACAGTGCCGCTTCTGAATATGGAAAAGCAGGTATTTTTGACTGTAGTCCAGTTGCTCCAGCATGTAATCTTAAAATAGTCCGATAACTTCATTTCACCATAATATGTATATGCTTTCTACAAGGCTTTAATAGTTAAAAAACAAAAGTTTTTTTCCACTTGTTATTTTCAGATGTGTTGAGAGCTGAGTCAGAGTTCCTGGTACCTGCTGTCTATGACAGCAGCGATGGGGTGGGGTTGGTGGTACACGGCCGTGGGTTTTTAGTGTTGCTTATGTATTCTTCAACTTCAGTTGTTTGAATACTGTATCCATGAGTTTTGCCGTATTTCTCTATACTTTCTATTGAATAAGGAGTTTGTTAAATTTTTTGTTAACTTAGCCTCATCTTCAGCAGATCTGCAAATCATATGTTTGCTTGGTCCTTATGTCTTTTATGAACGTCACATTGAATGTGTCTGTTGAGTGTTCGTGAAGTGTTAAGTTATATACATATTTTAATCAGTTTATATAAGGTATAAACAATGTAAAATATGCAACAGAAAGGGAATTTACTAAAAATTTAGCATTCTGAATTATAGAGTGATAGCTTTCAGCATATCTGTAGTAATTTGGAGTATAAATAAAATATAACAAAATTTTGAGTACCTTGAACACGTTTTCAGTTGTATTTCAGCGATAGCCCTGATCACACTTGTTAGCCCAGCACGGAGAACATCTAGGGCAAGTGCTTTTGGTTAAACAGCAAATGCGTCTTTAGTGCTTTTATTTAAATCGGAGCAAGTTCTCTTTTTTGGCATCAGGCAATTGTTTATCTCTCATACTTTAAAATTATGGAAAGTTGAAACTCCGTATGAGTTTTATGGACCTACTTATGCAGGGCGGCTTCTGGAGCAGAAGGGAACAACATTTTGCAAGTGTCCTCTGGGAGGGAAATTTAACACAGATTTGTTTTCTGTCCCTCTGAGATCATGAACTGCATTCAAAAATCAATGTTTTAGGTGAGATTTTCCCACTGAAGCATCCTGTGTTTATTTTCTTTAAGGGCTTATGGAAAATCTATTTAATCAGAATAAATTTTTTCAAAAGCAACATATGGAAAAGCAGGGAAGAGAGCAGTTTCAGTATTTATTTTTCACATTTTATTAAACAGAATTTTAAGAGTGTTTTTAACAAATAACACTTTTCTTAAAGCATTATGCTTTTTGCTTCTTTGTAAGCAACCCTTGATAAGTTTTCCAAAATGTATAAGATCATATTTTATAAGCACTCCTGTTTTGCTTTGATGATTACACTTTTAAAACAGCTTGCAATATACTTTAGCTGTTTGAACAGTGAGATATCTTTTTCATAGATAGTAAACAGTATAAAAGATTTTTTAAAAAAACGCATTGTTAGACATTTAAAGATTGTGCCAAAAGGAAGGTTTATTATAAAAAACTGTTTAATGTGCTTATTGGCCCTCAGTTTCTACGTAATTGAATGACCTATACCTAAAATACTGTTTTTATTATTAAAGGTACAACTGGTGAAGTAAGGTGCTGTCTTTTGT